AGGGCTCAGCAGAGCTTCCAGACGAAGGACAGATGGCAGAGAAGGACTAGGCTGTCCACTGTACAGGAACTGCCCACGGAAACCCGCGTGGCTAGGGTTGAAACACTGTCAGGTACTGAAAGCCTCGCGAATGGAAGCAGACCCTGTCAGAGATCGTGCAGAAGAGGCGCCCCTCGTGGGAATGGCCCTGGAAATATGACTGAGAGAGAGCCGTCTTCTCCCAGCAGTCGGCCTTCATGACGTGCACGGGGGAGAGCCCGCGAGAGAGGCAAGGTTTCTGGGCCTTCACGGGCGGAGGGAGCACAACTCAAAGTGAGAAGAAAACCCTGCAGCCGCCAGTCAATCATCGGAATGCAGACTGTGCACAGCATGCATCCAGGAAACTTGGAAGCTGTAAAGCATGCTTTGCGAAAGATGCTGGAGAACATGCTTTGGTCCTTCAGCAAACTGAAGCAGCTCTGCAAGCACTCACCCGTCTCTGTCAGGAAGTTTGGAAGACATTTGCTTAGCCGACTGACAGGAAGAGATCTATCTATATTTATGTCCCTCTCCAGAAGTGACCCAACAGAACACTCAAACCATGGAACGATCTCACACACAAGTAAAATTTTGCTTCACATCACCCCAATAGAGGTTGCAGTAACACATCACATCACCCCAATAGAGGTTGCAGAAACACATCAGATCACCCTAACAGCGGTTGCAGTAACACACTGACCGGGAACTGCCAGAGGTTCGGGTCAGATTCAGAAGAGGACGTGGAACAAGGAATGTCATTGCTGATGTCAGATGGCTCTTGGCTCAAAGCAGAGAAAACCAGAAAGATGTTTACTTGTGGCTCATTGATGCCATGGTATTCGGCTGTGTCGCCCGTAATACACTTGGATCGCCTTGAGAAGAATGGGAATTCCCGAACACTTCCTTGTGCTCACTTGGAACTTGTACAAGGGGCAGTTGTGTGAACAGAACAAGGCTAATCCTGCGTGGTTTTAAAACAACTGTCAGGACTGTTCAACCGTATGCTGAGCAAGATCAGCAGAGAAGCTGGATGATAGGAAGGAGAGAGCTGCGTCAGGATTGGAGGGAGGCTTATGAGCAACTGGAGAGATGCAGATGATACATCTTGCTGGCTGAAGGTGAGGAGGACTTGAAGCCCTTGATTCAGATCAAGGACTGCAGCCTTCAGGGTGGGTGACAGCTCTGTGTCAAGAAAACGAGAATCCTCACAACTGGACCAGTAGGCCACATCATGATCAATGGAGAAAAGGTTGACGCGGTCAAGGGTTTTGTCCTGCTGGGACCCACAATCAGTGCTCTTGGAAGAAGCAGTCCAGAAACTAAAAGACACACTGACTTGCATCAATCTGCTGCCCAAGAGCTCTTTAAACTGTTGGAAGGCAAGGAAGGTGCGCCTGCCCCAAGCCATGGAGTTTTCAACTGCCTCCATATGTGTGTGAAACTTGGACACTGAAAAAGGAAGACAAAGGAGGAAATGAAACATTTCATTGAAAACCATGGACTTCCAAAGAACGAACAGCCAGAGTGCTTCTTAGAGGCAAGGATGGCAAGACGGTATCATGCACTGTGGACATCCTGTCCGGAGAGACCAGTCCCTGGAGAAGGACATCATGACTGGTATAGTAGCGGGACGGCAAAAGAGGGGAAGACCGTCCACAAAACGACCGACACCGTAGTTGCATGAGCAGCTCAAAGACAAGAACCACTGTGAGGAGGGCACAAAGGGCACAAAGGGCCGCTGTGACAGCACCGACAGCAGCAGCAACCAGGAGCTGTCCTGGAACAGGACAAGAGGACGCTGTAGGGTTTGAAATCAGGGTGTGTCCTTTCGTCACACTTGGTCAATCTGTATGCTAAGCAAATAAGCCAGGAAGCTGAACTATATGAAGACCATGGCGTTAGGACTTGAAAAAGATACATTAACACCCGAGATAAGCCTATGACACAACTCTGCTTGTTTAGAGCCAAGAGGACTTGAAGCACTTACTGATGAGGATTAAAAACAACAACAACAACAACAACAACAACAACAACAACACAGCCTTCAGGATGGATCGCACCTCAACATCCTTTCAACTGGAACAACAGACAACGTAACATCATGATAAAGGGCGAAAAGCTAACCTTGTCAAGGACTTTGTTGTACCTGGATTAATAAACAACATTTACTGAAGCCGATGACGGAATGCACTGATTGGGCCAGTCTCTTTCAGGTGTAAAAGCAAAGATGTCACTTTGAGGACTGACGTGCCATGGTACTTTCAACCACCTCGCCCGTCTACAAAACGAGGACCATGTGATAGGCAGACAGACGAGCTGACCTTTGGAGTGCGGTCTTGGTGGATGAAGCGACTGTGAGACTACGGACTGTCCGAACAACTGTCTTGCAAGATGTTCGGCCAAAATGCAGCTTAGAAGGGAGGCTGAGCAGACTGCCTCTTCTTGCACTGGGGACATGCTGTCGGGAGAGACTGTTCCCCAGAGAACGGCTTCGTGCTGGGTGAAGAAGAGGGTCAGTGACCCTCAGAGATGGCGTCACGCAGTGGCTGCCACGAGGGCCTGAGACATGACAATGACTGTGAGGACGGAGCAGGACGGGACCACGTGTCCTGTCATACCCAGGCTGCTCTGAGTCAGAACCGACTCGGGCCCCCACAAGCAGCTGTCTCATCTGACCCTAATCAAGAGGCAGCATCAAGTCCAAAAGGAGAGAGGATCATTTTTAAAAAGACAGATGACTATTTCTTTAAAAATGAACGTCCAAGACAAAGACAGACTGGGGAACTGTCCAGATTAAGGAGAAGGACATATGGACGTGAGGGCAGTTCCTGGTCCCAGATGCCTGTGGGGGGCAGATTAGCTACGGCTACTGAACTGACGTTAAATTCCCCGAAGCCGATCACAGTACGGAAGGTGCAGCAAAGGGTTCATATTCTGAAGAAACAGACATGGGAATACTTAAGCATAAAAACCAAAGAACAAACCCATTGCTCCCGAGCCCATGCTGACTCACAGGGATCTTGTAGGACAGGGCAGAACTGCCCCTGTGGGTTTCTGTGACAGAGCCTTTTTTTCTTTTTAAAAATTTTGCTAAGGGGGTGTCCCATTACCTACAGATGGGCTTTGGGTCTCCACTCTGCACTCCCCCTCATTTACAATGATATGATGTTTTGTTCTTTGATGCCTGCTACCTGATCCCTTCCACACTTTGTGGTCACACAGGCTGGTGTGTTTTTCCAAAAAGGGTCTGGGGAGGAGACAAGCCCGTCAGCTTGCAGTGTAGCAACAATGAAACATACAACTTTAATTCTTAAATGCTTCCTCCCCACACTATCATGATCCCAATTGTACTTTACAAATCCGGCTAGACCAGAACATGTACACTGGTACAGATAGGAACTGGAAACACAGGGAAGCAAGGACAGATGATCCCTTCAGGACCTGTGGTGAGAGTGGCGATACCGGAGGGTAGAGGGAAGGTGGGGTAGAAAGGGGGAACCAATTATAAGGATCTACATGTGACTTCCTCCCTGGGGGATGGACAACAGAAAAGTGGGTGAAGGGAGACATCGGACAGTGTAAGATATGACAAAATAATAATAATTTCTAAATTATCAAATGTTCATGAGGGAGGGGGGAGTAGGGAGGAGAAAAATGAGGAACTTATACCAAGGGCTTAAGTAGAAAGCAAATGTTTTGAGAATGACGAAGGCAATGAATGTACAAATGTGCTTGACACAATTGATGTATGTATGGATTGTGGTAAGAGCTGTATCCCAAGCAAGGTATGAGTTCAAATCCTAGATAGGCCACCTGATAAACCTTAAAATGTAAATGAAAAACGATGGATCTATTAAATCCCAACTAATAATTTTTAAAATGTAAATAAAAATAGGAAACATTTTCTCTTTCTACCAAATACCTTATTAGAAGTAAACCTAAGATTAAAAAATAAAACTAGTACCTAAAAGAAAAGAGAAAAAAAAAGAGCTGTATCGGCCCCCAATAAAATGTTTTTTTTTTAAAATTGCTCAGGTTCACCTTTATAGAGCTTTTCAAGACCAATTTAATGGGATTTCTTTCTTTCTTTTTTTTTACTTCAATAAATCATTTTACTGGGGGCTCTTACAGCTCTAATGAAAACCCTTACATCAACTGTGTCAAACACATGTGCACATATGCTGCCACCATCATTTCCAAAGCCCCGTCTTCTCCAGCAAGCAGCTGGTGCCTTCAAACTGCTGACCCTGCGGTTAGCAGCCTCATGCATAACCACTGCGCCACCAGGGCTCCGACTTGTGCACAGTATAGCCTCGAATGGTTCAGACAACAAATTGTGTATGTGTGTCTGCTGGCAAGTCTGTGTGTCTGGGGCGGAGATGGGGGGGAAGAGAGAGAGAGAGAGAGGCTCCAACGAAGTAAAATGCTCTCTCTTAATTCTCACTGGGTCCATTTTGACTCATAGCGACCCCATGGGCAGAACAGAACTGCCTCAGTGGGTTTCTGAGGCCGTGAGTCTTTACGGGGGCTTACAGCCTCGTCTTTCTCCCAGGGAGCATCTAATTGTTTCAAACTGCCAACCTTGTGGTTAGTAGGCCCACGCATGACCCATTACACCATCACACTCACTGCCACTGAGTCTACACGGACTCAGAGCGACCCTCTAAGAAGGGGCAGAACTGCCCCCGTGACATTCCAAGATGAGCTCTTTATGGGAGGAGAAAGCCTTTCTCCTGCAGAGCTGCTGGTAGTTTTGAACTGCTGACCTTGCAGTTAACAGTGCAATGCTTAACCATCGTGCCACTGGGCGTCAAATGCTAACAGGAGATCCATCAGGGCAGCGGGCATACCAGCATCCTTTCTCTATTTCCCACGTTCTAAGTCTGCAATTGTTCCAAGGACTTACCCCCACTAGGCCAGATCGTTTCCAACCGGGCAGTCATTCCTAAGAAGCTAAAGCCCCGGCTGGAGCCCCTGCTCACCGTGCCGGGTCTGGTGAAGTCCACACTGTGCGCCAGGCTCTGCCGCATCTGGTTACTGAAGAGACGGACACAGACGCTCTGCAGGTACTCCGGCGTGATCTGCAGAGAGGACACGGGTGTCTGGTGAAAGGGGCAGAGCTCACCGGAGCAACGCTAGCATTCTGAGAGCTGGGGCGCCGCAGCCTTTCCAGAACGGACAGAGATTCGATGCGTGAGCTAGAAGAATCACCACGCTGCCTTGGTGTATCAGAGCTCTGGGGAGTTAAAGCACCCAGCCTGGCGGAAACAGTGGTGACGACCTACAGGTGTGCTTGATGGACCTCCCAGTCTAACATGGACTCATGGGCTGGATGTGCCCTGGACTGACAGAAGAACGGAAGAGCCGGAAGGCTCTTCAGAAGCGAGGGTGGCGGGCTGTCTTGTGTACTTGGACACGCTACCAGGAGGGAACTGTCCTTCGGTAAAGACCGCATGCTGGGGGAAGTCGAGGGTCAGAGAAAAAGAGGGCGACTGCAGAGAGGGCTCGACACTGTGGCTGCGACAAGGAGCTCAAACACAGTCCTGAGTGAGGATGGCCGAGGACCGGCGGTGTCCTGTTCTGTCGGGCACGGCCTTGCTGAGTGGAGACCAGCTGGACGGCACCTCACAGCAATGACCGTAAACAGATTCCAAGGTTTCTTGTCATGGTTCGTCCCTGTTAAAACCTGTGATGATCTTACTGCGGTAGAAAGAGGGCCCGGGCCTAACACCCGAAGATCTGGGCTCAAATCAGGCTTCAAAGTCCCACTTTTGATGGCAAGCTTGTCCCTCTTCATCTCCGGGACCTCTGCTGTCACTCAAGCCCTCCACCCCAGCCCACTGCCAGGCTTACCTGCAGTACGCCCTGTTCCACCTGTCTGTCTACCACACCCACTCAGCAAACATCGGTCCGCCTTGGACCAACCCTGTCATTCCTGTCCCCTCATAAACAAAGTTTCTACCAAATAAAACCACCCCGTGGGTGGGGTGCTGCTGTAGCCAACGGCTCACACCTCAACTCCCAGCAGCTGACGTGCGTCTCCCACTAGATCAACAAAAACCAGCCCCTCCCCCCCATCCTTCTGGAGCCCCGCTCCCACCCTCCAGCTCCAGTCTCCATGCTAGAGGGGTCTGCTAGTTCACAGAGGAAACAGAAGTAAACTGTGGGGTGCCATCTGGCCCCCCAGCAGCATGTACATACAGCCTCAGACAGAGGGCTCGTCTCAACACCCTTCCTTCAAGGCCCCCCCGCTGCTGCCCCATCGCCTCCTCCCACGATGTAATCGGACTTCCGCTTGCATTTCTCCCAGAACTCCCATGGCCAAGGTCGCCTCGATGGCTGCACTCAAAACACTGGGCCCTTTGCAGTGCTAGTCTTCTAGAATTTTCTGTGGCGTTTGGATCAACCCCTTACTCCCCAAACTCCCCTCTGACTTCCGGAGCTGTGGAGGAACCACTTTCTGGAATAAGCAAAGCTGGTTACAGGACTTCTCTGTTTCAAACAGGTGAAGGAGCAAACGGCACAGACAGCTGGCCAAAACCAAAACAGGAATGGCCAGCACGCCGTGAAGCCTGATGCGTGCTGGTCAGCGCCAAAGCGCGGAGACCTCGTGGAGAACGGGGCGAGGCGCTGCCCGTTCTGTGCTCCCCTGGCGAGACCAGACAGCACTTCTGCCGAGGCCCACCCCGCTGGCACCGGCCCGTCTTAGGAAGTAGACCGTCTGTCTGCGTCTGGGTGAACCTGCTGGCTTTGGAAAGAAGACGCAGAGCTCCCAGTACCACAGTCACACCTGAGCCAACACAGGATGCCAAACCACAGACAGGGGTGACCACGTGCACCAGGACAGCCAGGACAGCATGCGTCACTTTCAAACAGGCGAGGATCTCCAGGCTTAATCACATCCGCTGTTGGTGGACTGGGGAGGGGAGACCCTGCGGAAAGTGTAGCACAACTCAGGTGTCCACAGCCACCGAAGGTGCGTGCTCGTCACCTGTGCCCTAGCAGTTTCCCTTGGCGGAGTGAAACCCATCGTCAGAGGCATTGTGTACATAGAACGGTTGTTTCCAGCAGTTCAAGAAACCGACCCACTCCCTGCTCCCCGCCAGAGATCTGAGGAGTTCAGGTCCAGCCTGCCGAGAGTCATGTCCAAGCAGGAAAAGAATGAGGTCCATGTGGCCGTGTTCAGAGAGCTCCATTCACGTGGAGGCCGCTTCAGACTGTCAGAGCCCCAACACGCCTGCTGCATGTATGCGAACCCACGTGTGTGCATGGAAGTGCTCTGCGGGTGAATGTCACCTGACCACGGGCATCATGCTTGGTAAAGCAGAGGGGTCCCAGCAGAGGAAGGCCCTCAGGGAGATGGATGGAGGGGCACCGTGGCTATAGCAATGGGCCCAGGCCTGAGAACCAGTGTGAGGACGGTGTGGGACTGGGCAGTGTTCTGTTCTGCTGTACACAGGCTCACTGTGGGTCGGAACCAACTTCCTGACACCTGACAACAACAACACACTCGGTGTCCACGCTGCACCTCGGGCACATATTTTTCGTGCCAGCTGACAACCCAGGGGGGAGTCCTGCCTCCTCCCTCAGTGCCCGGCCTGCCGTCTGCGGCCGAGAGTCCTAGCTGCCCAGGGTGACAGTCAGGTGGCTTTGAATGGGAGGGAGGGGGGGTTGGGAGGGAGACACCCACTTTCTTTCCCTGCTTCCCACAGCGGGTGCCGTTCCTGGCGGCAGGCATGTCCTGCCGCTTTCTTCTTTGTCCCCACCAGGGGTCCGAGGCGACACTGGAGACATGGTTCTTTTGTCTCTGGCACTCTGTGCTTGTGTGAAAAGTTAATACACGTTACATCTAACGCAAAAAAAAAAAATTTAACTTTAAAGAGCCACCGTGTCCTGGCAGAGCCCCGGTAGCACAGTGGTCACTTCCTGAGCTACTGACCGCAAGGAAGAGGCCGCCTGCTCCCGTGAAGGCTGGGAGTCTCGGAACCCCCAGGGTCACGACCAGTCAGCCCCACTCGATGGCAGATTCGAGGTAAAGCCCTGTGTTCAGACACACATTACTAACTACAGGGCGGAGCACACATCTCCAGGGGCCCTATCTCCCCTGCTGCCATCACAGAGTGTAAGGGAGCCAATCAAAATTCTATCCAACTAACGGGGCTCCCAAAAGGTCTCACGGGGGTTTCCAAGACTAACTCTTTATGGGAGTAACAAGCCCCG